TAATCATTTAAAAAGTCTATTTAATAAAATTAATTTTACCAACACAAATAAAATTTATTTTAGATGGTATAATGTATTTATTGAGCTTATATTGACTAAATCTAGTTTTGATGGATAATGTTATTTCTTCTTGCTTTTAAGGCCCGTTTTCTGCTTTCAAAAGTCAACCCTTCACAGACTCATAATAATATGTATGCCTGGGGGCAGGTAAGTGTAAATAGCAGGTCTTGGAAATTATTTCTTTGTGTATTTATAGTTTGTTATTTTAGTGAAAGCTATGTTTTTTCCTATGCTTTTAGTAATGATTCTGCTGGAAAAGTAATGAAAAAATAAGAGTAGAAAACAGAATTAATATTTGGTGGCACCATAGAAAGTAAAAAAGTGATCCTGTCAAATAGACAGAACCCCTTCATATTCCAAGTTTAGCACCATATCCTTGAACAAAAAGCAATAAAGTGTGTAAGATAGGAAGTGATGATTCCAGCTAGGCCATGAACCACAAAAGGGCACAAGAAGCCAGGAGAGGCCAGGGATTGTAGTTGAGTGGGAGAGATGGTTAGCCTGCAAATCATTATGGATATAGTTTAATTTGGTAGAAGTCCTACCTCTTGATATACCATATCAATATTTGTTGAGTGTTTGGTATATATAGAAATCTGTGTTGGCACTTCAGGCTACATAGTCATCATCCCTGCCTTTGAAGAGCTTGTAGTCAAGTATTAGAGATAGGATACATACCTAAGTAAAATACAAAGCAGATGTGACTTTAGAAAGATATAAAGTATTACAGGGATTAGAAGAGAAAGAGGGGAAGAGGTTGCATGGTGGCAGCAGGTAGAGGGTGTGTGATCAGAAAAAAAGGGACATTTAGTTTAAAGAATGGTTATTATTTCAGTAAGTGGAAATTGCGTGAGGAAGGGAATTCTAGGTAGAAGATAGTATGGGCTAAGATAAGAGACTACATAAGAGCAGAATAATAAAACATAAAACTGGAAATATGTTGTGTGACCAGATTGTAGAGGATCTTGAATGTCAGGTTGAGGACTGAGAAGTTGAGTCTTTATTTAGTCAGTAACTGAGAATCATTGAAGGTTTTTGGACATAGGGGTAAATTTAGGCCTTAGACAGTGCAGCCAAATCTTAAGATTAATTTGGAGCAGTTCGTAGGTTGAAACTATACTAACTGAAGTAATCCAGGTGAGAGGGAATGAGGGCAACATGGTGAAAGGAATAGATTTGGGAGATATTTCAAAAGTAGACTTAATGGGACTTGATTAGAAGTTACAAGAAAGTGTATTATTCCAGGGCATGACAGCTATACACAAATCTGAATTCTGATTGGATCCTGGATTAGAGGGAGAGAATAGCTGTTAAGAACATAATTGGTATGATTGTGAAATTCGAATATAGAATATATATCAGATAAGTACCATAATATTATTCAGTTTCTTGAGTATAATAATGGTGTTATGGTTATATAGGAGATTATCCTTAATCTTAGAAGATACGTCCTGAAGTATTTAGGGGTGAAATGTCATAATGTCTTCAACTTGCAGAAATGATTTAACAAAAAGAAGAAAAAAAGGAAAAATATGTAAAAATATAAAGCAAATGTGGCAAAATGTCAGTGAATTTAGGTATATGGTATGTAGGTGTTTATTGTATTTCTCTCTCACCTTTTCTGTAGGCTTGAATTTTTAAAAAATATATATTTAAAGTTGAGGGAAACAAGGTAATTTGGGATTTTAAGCCTGGGTAACTAGGTAAACACATACCAGTGAGTAGGAAGGTGGAGAGAAATTGTTTCATTTTAGACATAATGAGTTTGAGATACCATCTAGATGATCTCATTGAGCCACAAGAGGATGGCCATATTGATTATGGCCATATTGAGTAGGCTATTGGAAATTTGGGTTTGGTGGTCAAGGTAAGGAAGTGAAAGTTGATTTTAGAAAGGTGATACTTAAAGTTATCGCAGTAAATGCTTGACTGAGGAGAGAGTAGAAAGATAAAGGACGGATGAGACAAAGCCTTCAGGGAGTACAAGTGGTAGGAATATTTAATAAATAACCAGAGAGGTAGAAGAAGAATGAAAAGAATTCTGTGTTATAAAAGGTGACCTTATAGAAGGAAGAAGAAAGGGGGTAACAAACACCAAAATGGTGCAGACAGTTGAAGGATACAGACTGAGAAAATGCGCTCAGATTTGATGACTAAGCCAAATGACTAAGTCATTTGTGGCCTTTCGTAAGCAGTTTTAATATAGTGGTTGAGTAAGATAGATTATAGGGAATTGGTGACAAAGAAGTGGAGTTTGTAAGCGTAAATGATTCTTTTGCAAATTTAGCCTGAGAATAAATAGTAGGATAGGTATGATTGTTACTAGGATAAGAGCACAGAGCTTATCTGTAGACCAAGTGTAAGGAGCCAATATGGGGAAGACACAAAAGAACAGATGTTTAAGATCCTCAGAAGGAGATGATATGATCACAGGCATGATACGGGGGTTAAGCACTGGTAAGAAGGCAGGACATTTCTCTCTACAAAAGCAAAAGGCAAGAAGGGAAAGACAGATTTTGAGGTGGAGTGGAAGCTCTCATTGGATAATTGCCTGTTTCTTTTCAGTAATAGGAGATTACTTTAAGGGTGAGAAAGGCTGGGGTTAAGGACTAAAAAATGGAAAAGGTTAAAAACAGGTTTAAGGAATATAAGAAATCAACAGAGGATGAATAAAAGGCTTTTACAGCAGTGGTGAGGACGCATTTTATTTACTAAAAATTTCCAGGGCATGCTTGTATAATATTCTTTAACCATGCTTTGTAGGTCGGACATCGGATCAAAGCTCAAAGACTTTGGGGATAATTTAGGACTGGAAATGAGAAAGATGGGCACATTAGTAAGAGGGTAGAATAATTTATGGCAATATAACTGTGGGGTCTAGGTTGGGTAGAAAATAAATGAAATGAAGCAATAACTGCAATTAAGGCTCTTCACTTTGAATATAGAGGTGTCTCAAGATTTGTCCTCATTTCTCTATATTCACTGTTTCTTTGGGTGATTGCAATCCCTCTTATGGCTTCAGCTCTCATCTGAAGGCTGACTTGCGAATCTCTGTCTTTTGTTTGGCTTCACATTGAGCTATGGACTTGAATTTCTTTAATTGTCTATTGCACATCACTTGAATTTCCTGTAGACATTTCATAAAGCAGAGTGTCACAACTTGACCTCTCTTTTAACACTATCTTTTTATTTATTTATTTTTTTCCCAAGATAGAGTCTCACTCTGTTGCCCAGACTAGAGCCCTGTGGCGTCAGCCTAGCTCACAGCAACCTCAAACTCCTGGGCTCAAGCGATCCTTCTGCCTCAGCCTCCCAGGTAGCTGGGACTACAGGCATGCGCCACCATGCCTGGCTAATTTTTTCTATATATTTTTAGTTGTCCAGATCATTTCTTTCTATTTTTAGTAGAGACGGGGTCTCGCTCTTGCTCAGGCTGGTCTCGAACTCCTCAGCTCAAATGATCCTCCTGCCTCGGCCTCCCAGAGTGCTAGGATTACAGGCGTGAGCCACCATGCCTGGCCTCTTAACACTATCTTGTTCTTCCTAATTTTCTGTTTTTACAGAAGGTCTCACTATTCTCTCAGTTCCTAAGGCTCAGAACTTCAGTCATTTACAATTTCTCCTTTCTGCCCATAATTAATCACAAATGCTTTGCCCTATTTTCCCTATCCTTCTCTCCTTTCCTTATCACTAACCGAGGTCAGGTTCTTGTTACTTTTCACATGGACTGTTGGAATTACCTGCTAAATGGTCTTAGTGCTTCAGCTTTTTTTCTCTTATTTTGGCAGTGGCCAGAATAGTCTCCCTAATGTAATAGTCCTGAATGTCAGCTCTGAAATCTTCCATAACCTTTTATTGAATTACACATAAACCCTTTGTATTCTATTGAGAGTCCTTTCTGGTATGACCCAAATATCTTTTTCTACCTTTAGCTATTATGTAGTTCTTTTAGCCAAACTAGACTTTTCACTCCGCTTTGAATACATTGAGCATATTCCCATCTCTGTGACTTTATGTATCACCACTTGGACATATTCTGTGCATCCTTCAAGGTTCACTTCAAAGCTCACTGACTCCATGAAACTCTTCTTAGTCTGTTTTCTGTTGATTGTAACAGAATACCTGAAACTGAGTAACTTACAAAGAAAAGAAATTTCTTTTCTTTGTTATGGAGTTATGGAGGCTGTAAAGTCCAAGGTTGAGGGGCTGCATCTGGTGAAGACCTTCTTGCTTGTGGGGACTCTCTGCAGAGTCCTGAGGTGGTACAGGGCATCATGGTCAGGGGGCTGAGCATGGTAGCGCAGGTGTCTCTTCTTTTTCTTACAAAGCCTCCAGTCCCACCGCTGTGATAATTCATTAATCCATGAATGGATCCATTCATGAGAGCAAGTCCTTATGACCCAGTCAACTCTTAAAGGCACCCTCTTCTCAATACTGCCACACTGGGGATTAAATTTCAACATGAGTTTTGGAGGGGACAAACATTCAAACCATAATGTCTTCCTATGATTGTATGACTGGATTTGTGTAATATCACTGCCCTGTCATCCTGTTTTTCCCATCCATTTCCTATGGTACTTATTTGTCCTGTTAGATTATAAATTACTTGAGGGCAACAACTGTCACTCTCATGTTTGACTTCCCACAGTACCTTAAACATAGCACATATTAAATAGAATAGATCTGGACAGGAGAGAGCAGAGAAGAGTATGGGAGTTCCGAGGAGGTGGTTAGGAATTAAGGAGGTTTTGTGATATAGATAAATAAATTGAATCCAAGGTCTAAAAGTCCTGAAGTCTAACTATCAGGCATAGTTACAGGAGGTTTTATATCAAGGAAGGAGCTTAATATTGGAAGTGTAGAAGGCTGATAGTTGAGAGTGAAAGTTACTTAACTTCTCTTTGCCTTCACTTCCTTGTCTACAGAATTTAATAATAATATGTGCTTGATATGGACAGTAATACTCAGTAAATATTAGCTGTTATGTTTCACTGTTATCAATGGAAAAAAATTTTCCTAAAGATATTTAACATAGGAAAGAAAACCTATTTTAAACTTTGAAGTTTAATTATTACTGCTTGCAAGTTAGGGCATTAGCGGCATAAACAAAAACCTAAGGTCTTGATGCATGATTGTTATGAGAAATTATGTTAATATTTTCATAATCATAATAAATTGAATCTATACTGTTTTAATCACTGTGCTAAGATTTTTATGTACTCTCATTTAATTGTTTAAAAATGTCTATAAGTTGAGTACTATTAATCCTATATTTCAGAAGTGGAAATTGAAGCTCATATAAATTCAGTGTCTTACAAGATGACGTAGTTAAACTATGGTAGGGTCCAGATTTTATCTCAGGCCTGTCAGACTCCAGATGTGAATTTTTAATAAGTAAGCTAATTTGATGATTGAAATTTAGGGAATTAACTTTAGCAGCCAAGCATTTTACTAAAAATTAATGAAATCTAGTATCTTAGGAGTTTGTCAGAAATCCAAGTACCTAGTGATAAGTATTATCCATGAATGGCCTGAAGAGGGCACCACTGCAACACTGCTTCTGTGATAGGGTCCTGGAGGCTTCTGTTGCTATATTGCTTCATATACTAAATAATGTAAAGCTTGAACCATTCTGCCTAATCCTGGATATATTTTAAATAGAAAAGGGGCCCATTTGAAAAATTGAGATCAATCAACTGCTAATTTTTGATAAAATTGAGTTGAGCATTAGTATTTATAATTTCAGATAAGAATTCTGCAGTATATAAATTAGATGGTTTAGGTCACATTTTTGAGATCTGTGCTTCTCTGTGTTAACTAGGAATGTAGAATAAAGAGAAGTATTTCAGTGTTATAATAGGTTTTTCAAAAGAAGGAATAATAAAAATGGCTAAAACATATTGTGTGCCTGGTACTATTCTACTTGCTTTATACAATTTAATTCATTTAATCATTGCAACTACTGTGTAAGATAGATCTTGTTATTACCCTTATTTTACAAATGAGGAAACTAAGTCACAGGTTAAATGACTTCCTTCTTTAAAGTCATATGGGGGCCAGGCTCAGTGGCTCACATCTGTAATCCTAGTGCTTTGGGAGGCCAAGGTGGGAAGATTACTTGAGGCCAGGAGTTTTTGACCAGCCTTGGCAACATATGGAGACCCTGTTTCTACCAAAAAAATTTTTTTTAAAAATTAGCTGGGTGTAGAGGTGTGCCTATAATCTTAGCTACTTGGGAGGCTGAAGTAGCAAGATTGCTTGAGTCCGGGACTTTGAGGCTGCAGTGAGCTATGATCATGCCATTGCACTCCAGCCTGGGCGACAGAGTAAGACCCTGTCTCTTAAAAAACAACAACAAAAAAGTCATATAGATTGTTAGTGCTTTTGCCTCCCTTCATTATCAAGTTTTTCAAGTTCTTATGAATTAACGTGATAAAATTGATTTTCCTTTATTCAGGAGAGGTTATAGCATGTCTGTGGCTGTGCCAGACTAGAACCA